TTGCTTCACTCTATCAGCTTAAAGACTACATGAATGCTACTGACGATGGAGCAGACGAGAACCGGCTTTTACCTGCTGTCAACAAAATCTGGCCATTCTTTGTTGCTTGCATAAGAAACAGAAACCCTGTGGTACACTCTCTCTCTCTAATGTTCAACAAATCGCTAAGCGTGTTTAGATTATTGTTTAGTTTAGATTCGGTTTTGCCGACTAGACCGATATTTAGAACACTGAAACTTCCTGCATTGTTCCACAGGCTGTACGGAGATGCTTGAATGTGATAACCAAAGTCATTCAAACATCTGGAGGAGACTTCTTCACACGTCGTTTCCGCAACGATGGCCATGACTTCTGGAAGCTTTTAACAACATCTCCGTTCCACGTTATGACGCCAAAGAGCCTCAGAGAAGAGAACAAATCAGTTCTCAGGCTTCCTTACAGAACCATTCCTGAGTCAGCTTCTTCTTCTATTGCTGAAGTTTCCAGCTTGAAAGTGCAAGCTGCACTTCTCAACATGATCGCTGAGCTTTCCAGAGAGAAACGCAGCGCTTCAGCTTTAGATGCGGTCTTGAAGAAAGTTGCAGGATTAGTCGTTGGGATAGCCTGCAGCAGTGTAACAGGGTTAAGAGAAGCTGCTTTGAATGCGTTGAGAGGTTTGGCTTGCGTTGATTCTGATCTCATTTGGATTCTCTTAGCAGATGTGTATTATTCTCTCAAGAAGAAGAGAGATTTGCCTCTTCCACCTTCGGCTGAGTTTCCAGATATATCAGTGGTTTTGCCTCCACTGGCAGAAGATTCTCGGGGGAGGTTTCTGTACGTTGAGTACGGTGGTCGGAGCTATGGTTTTGAGGTGGAGTTCAGCTCCGTTGAGACCATTTTCAAGAAAATGCAGTCTCTAGTCTTTGCAGATCAAGTGAGTTGTTAATATATAACTGCTTGTAAAATAATACTTTTTTTTTGTTTTCTTTGTTTTGTGTTAACTTTTGAAAATTGATTTGTTATTTCATTATAATTCTTCATAGAAGAAGACACGTACAGTTAATTACCAAAAGTAATTCAGTGTTCAGGTTAAGAGGGTGTTAATATTGACTTTTACAAGAAACAACTTCTACAGTTTGATATATTTTTACTTAGAGCTTTAGTCGCCGAAACCAAAAGTGTTGCAGTTAGCACGGTTCGATTTATTAGTAGTGTTTTATTATTCTATGTTCATACAAGCACTTGCAACATAGCTTATATCTTCTGGCTTCAAGATTTGGCCCAAGTAATTTGTGTGCATGAACTCTGATTGTGGATTTGAACATTGTCTAAAACGAGTGAAAACTAAACAGGGTCTCGAGTTTTAACAAGTTCCAAAAGGTTTACATAAGCAAGAACCATCAGTTTTTTTGTCCAGCCATGCAGAAAAGCAAAATATAGTATTGAGATTCAAGTCCAGGTTTGTTGCGCAGCCAAGTGAAAGTTCACTCGACTTCAGCTAAGTAATCATCGATCTCTGCTGGTGTTAGTACCCTGCACATAACAACCTCTTTTCAGACACTGATGACAAAAACAAAGATTCATTGATTCTATTGAGCTTGGAATATTGAATGTTACCTAAAAACTTTGTCAGCACCAATTTTGCCAATCTCAATGTTCTTGCTCGAGATTTCTCCCTCGAAACTGTGAAACAGACAGTAAGAAAAGACGCAATGGAATGTGAAAAGACGCAATGGAATGTTAGGTTTTTAGAACAGTTCCCAAGTAAAAAATAGAGTTTAGCAAAAATTCTCACCCTTCCTTCAATGTCAATATCGCTGTGTGAATTGCGTCATCAAGTTCCATATCTTCTGTGTACCTGATTAAGAGACTAACATGACATGACATGCTTCCAAGATTTCATAAACATATATAACAAACAGTAAATCTTCTCACCTCTTCTCGAGAAATGTCTTAGCATTCGAAACATTCTTTCCCATAGCCGAAGCTTTCCATGAGAAATAAGAACCAGACGGATCCACCTAGTGAAAAAAAATGATAATTCGGAATAAGATGTTTTTTTAACAAAAGCACTAACGGTTATTAACATCTTTAATGTTCATACCTGATACAGCTGAGGACCCTTGTCATCATACCCAGCCACTAGAAGAGAAACTCCAAACGGTCTAACACCACTATTAACAGGAGAAAGAAACCGAAATAAGAAGCAACATTACTTAATCAGTACAGTTTTGCTTTAAGAACATTTGATCATGCCAAATCAATCTTAAATCCATGAGGTAATAATAGGTAACTCTTCTTAACCAAGCGTATGAAAGGAAGAAACCATATGGATTCTGAATAGTACTTACCCCGATTGAGTGAACTCTTGCATCACCGTAGCAGTTTCCCTTACAAGTTGAGTGACAGGGATAGGTTCCTGCAATGATAAAGACCCTTAGAAGTTGAATCACGAATAAGCAAGAACAGCTTATTAAGGACTGAAGTTTTATCATGCATGGAATACAATAACTTCAAGAAAAGTAGATGAAAACAGAGAAATGGAAGATTACTTTGTACAATCTGTTATATTGCTCAGCCTGCTTCCTACTCTTTCGCACAAGAACTCGGAAATCAGGACCCATGCCACTTCAGAGAAGCAAATACCAAAGTTAGCATTGAACTATAAGAGAGAAAGTGCAGTGCCTAAATCAAAATTTTCAAGCTATAAAACCAAATCTGTTATCAAACAAGAAGTTCAGATAGAGCTGAGGAGACTAGTAACCTGTAAACAACTCCAATGTTGGGAGTCAAATGCTGAATCTTTTGAACCTGAAATAGACATCAGACTTAACATTAATACGAAGGTTACATGGTGACCTACAGAGAAGAGATAAATCAAACTTACAGAGGCTTCATCAACCAGAATAGAGGGAAGCTTTTTTTCAGTAGCAATAACAACTCCATTCGAAGCTGGAAAAAAAAAGAAGCCACATTTATTTATATTTATAATTTCCTTCGAATAATCTCTTAATTTAAAAATTTCCATCATTGACAAATACCTTTGATTCCTAAAGATGTCTGGCCTGATCCAACAGCTGTGAGAGCATGCTCTATCTGAACAAGCTTCCCTGAAGGGCTAATTTTTTTCACAACCACAACACACAATTAATCTAACAAGCTCAAAGGAGATGCATTTTGAGTGTAAACAAGGTTCCATACCTGAAGGTAGTGAGAGAAAACGAGTACTGACTGTCTCCCATTCTTTGCACCTTAAAACTAACCTCCCAAAATAAAATATTCTGCAACATAAAATAAACTTAGAACCTCAGAACATCTAACGATCTACACAGAGATGTTCATTAACATAAACTCAATTAGTTATAAACAACAACTTAGTCAAAAACGAAGTTACGGCTCAGAAACTACACTGAAGCGATTAAATCTAACAAATCCTAGAAGAACGGAAGAGATCGAGTAACGGATCAATCGCACCTTTGATGAACGGATCGAGCAAAGACAATGGAAGGAAGACGAAGGAGAGATATAAAAAAGCTTTTTAGGTTTCTTGAAGAAAGGGTTGGCACTGCTAACAGGTGAACTAAAAAAAAGAAAAAGATTTACTGTAAACGACGGCGTTTTGTTTAGTGGCTCTGGTTTGGTTAAACCGGATTAGTTTATATCAAATTAACTTTAAAACGCGAAGAGAATTAGCGTTTCGTGTCGTGTCATTTCTTCCCGACCAGTTAGTTCGTTGGGGGACAGCAGTGAACAACAGTGTCGGGATTCGCGAATCAAACCAACAAAAAAAGATTTAGGCGTATTCTCTCAAGTCAACCACATTTGCTTTTAGTTTAGCACTGTTGGGTTGTTATGGCTTCAACCCACCGCTTGCTCTCTCCTTCGCAAAAGACCCTTAACTCTCTCCGGCTAAGAAACTACAGTGAAGCGATTAAATCTAACAAATCCTAGAAGAAGGGAAGAGATCTCAAAAAACATGTGGAAACTCAACGATCAATCGCACCTTTGATGAACGGATCGAAGCAACGACAATGGAAGGAAGACGAAGGAGAGATATAAAAAGCTTTTTAGGTTTCTTGAAGAAAGGGTTGGCACTACTACGACTAACAGGTAAAGTTTAAAAAGAAAAAAAGATTTACTGTAAACGACGCCGTTTAGTTTAGTTAAACCGGATTGGTTTATATCAAATTAATTTTAAAACGCGAAGAGAATTAGCGTTTTGTGTCGTGTCATCTCTTCCCGACCAGTTCCTGGCGACAGCAGTGAACAACAGTGTCGGGATTCGCTTCTTTTACCTGGAGAGAATCAAACAAAACAAAAAAAAGAAGATTTTGGCGTTTTCTCTCAAGTGAACCACATTTGATTTTAGTTAGCACTGTTTGGTTGATATGGCTTCAACCCTTTTCTGCACCACTTTCTTGGTATTAAGCTAGATGGCTTCCAATCTAAAACCAATTGGTGATAAGTGGATTGGCCCATCTATCTTATATATCACTAAGAATCCCTTCCAACTTCCGATGTGGGACACTTTGTGTCTAATACGCCCTCTCGAGATGATGGCTCTCTGGCATCAATCTCGGAATGTTCGGGCAAGGATCAATGGGCCGACTTTGGGTTGGATCGATAAGGATTGATCGGGTTGGACTGCGTGGATCGTGGGCTCTGATACCATATTAAGCTAGATGGCTTCCAACCTAAAACCAATTGGTGATAAGTGGATTGGCCCATCTATCTTATATATCACTAAGAATCCCTTCTAACTTTCGATGTGGGACACTTTGTGTCTAATACTTGGCTGCAACCCACCGCTTGCTCTCTCCTTCGCAAAAGACCCTTAACTCTCTGTGTGTAAGTCGTAACTACTCTCTGTTTTTAAAGTTTGACTCTTTCTTGAGGTCATCGATGCTCTGTTTTAAAAAGTTCAACTCTTCATTGTGTGTTGTTGATGATAATTGCAGAAGAGAGGAGGGCTCTACTCTCAGTTTGGCTCTTCCTCTACATGCTTTAAATCAATTCGAGTCATGGCTTGTACTGGAATTGTTGCGAAAGCTGGCTACTCGACTTCATCATCAGGACCAACCAATGAGCCTGTTGTTTCTGTTGATTGGCTCCACTCTAATCTTAGGGAGCCTGATTTGAAAGTGACTGCCTCTTTTGTGCCATTTGTTATCTATCGACTGACATACTTAAATGAACTTGTTTCTGTTCTGTTTTGCTCCGGTTTTGGATGCGTCATGGTACATGCCTGATGAGCAGAGGAATCCCATCCAAGAATATCAGGTGAGAACATTAGATTGCATAGGTGATTTGATAAGCTATTGTGTTATATTCCTACTGGGTGAGCTATAGTAAATAAAAATAATTTTTTTTTTGAGGAGATAGGACACTACTTGATCCTAATGGACTTTGTTCTCTCCTACAGGTTGCTCATATTCCCGGTGCTCTCTTCTTTGATTTGGATGGAATATCAGATCGATCAACAAGTGTAAGAATCACTATCCTCTCCTTTTAAAAACGTGTTTTATGTATAAGTGAAATCTTATCAATATCTAGTATCTTATTACGCCTGCCATTTTCAACATAAATTGCTTATAGCTGTTTAATTCTGTTAGATCCATTGAAAACATCTTCACTCTTTGCCACTAACATCTTTACTCATAAGTATTGTAACTTTCTCTTTTGTGTTTCCTATTATACTTTTTTTTTTTGTGCTAATATACTCATAAGTATCTAAAGTGATACATCAATGTCTTGTAACAGTTGCCACATATGTTGCCGTCTGAGGAAGCTTTTGCTGCTGGTTGTTCTGCTCTTGGAATTGAGAACAAGATGGAGTCGTTGTTTATGATGCAAAGGGGATCTTTAGTGCAGCACGTGTATGGTGGTGAGTTACAGCTCTCGTTTGGTATTATATTCTTTTGCTCTATTTAGTTTGTGTTTTTTTGCGAAGGTATGGTTATAACTGATACGTGGGTTTATTCTACTCTAAATCTGTAGGATGTTCCGTGTTTTTGGACATGAGAAAGTGTGGGTGCTCGATGGAGGTCTACCGAGATGGCGTGCTTTTCAGGTTATGATGTTGAATCTAGTGCATCAGGTGATGCTATTTTGAAAGCCAGTGCTGCAAGTGAGGCTATTGAGAAAATCTATAGGACAAAGCGTAAGTTCAAAGTCTTTTTTGGTAGAAATGGTTTCTTATTTGTTCTATCATGATGAGATTTTAGGAGTGGTGAAGATGTGCTTTTCTTTTCTTTTTCCCACAGGTCAGCCCTGAAACCTTTAAAACGAAGTTCCAGCCACATCTAGTGTGGACACTTGATAAGGTTGGCATTTACTGAACGGTTTTAGACCCAATTTTCAGAATTACCAACTGTGAAAATGTAAAGTTCATTATCTTTTTACCTGGATTTGGTCAATTTTTACAGGTCAAGAACAATATGAAGGAGCAGACACATCAACACATAGACGCTCGTTCCAAAGCAAGGTACTATAATTTGCAAAGTTATCACTTGTTTCCACAGATGAAAACATTGTACCATTTGATTCACTAGATTTACGCTTTTGCCACAGGTTTGACGGTACTGCTCCAGAACCCCGTAAGGGAATAAGAAGCGGTCATATTCCCTGGAAGCAAATGTATTCCTTTTCCACAGGTAACCTTGAAAGGACTCTTATCACCTATAGAAGGTGATGAATGTTCCTCATGAAAGTCCCCTAGTAACTAGATTACAAGCCACTTCCACGGATACAATTTATGATGTATTGTTACCTTTGAGGAATTGGTTTGAGGCTATCAAACATACAATTATTCTGTGTTCTGTTTTGAATAATATCAGTGAACTAGAAATTGTTTATCTTCCTGAAACAGAAATCTCGAAACATTAAATTGTTTATCATCCTGAAACAGAAATCTCGAAACATTAAATTTTATAGATGGTAACTGCAGTGACGATTTCCGTAAAAGTCAGTCTTGTAGGGGAAGAGTTAATAACAACATGGCCGCGTGGCCTAATGGATAAGGCGCTCGCCTCCGGAGCGGGAGATTGTGGGTTCGAGTCCCACCGTGGTCGACTTTTTTACCTTTTTTTTTTTTTTTTTAACTTCTTCTTCCACTACAATTTCAGATAAGAAGATTACATTTATAATTGAAACCAAAAGGATATGATACTTTATTTTATTGACTGATTTTGTGTTACTTCAACAAAGCCTAGCATTACATAACACTTCTAGGCTTACAGAAACCTCAAGAGTTCACAAAAAATATGTCCCAATGTGTAGGGACTGTTCCTTGGCTCAGCTTTAGGTGGACGAGTTGGCTGAGAGTCGGCACTCTCCACCATGTTTATCACAAGATTGGTCGCCTTGGAAAGGTCTGGAAACTCGATCAGGTTCTTGCAGCTTGTGAAATTTAGGCTCCGTAAGTTTCCAAGGCTCTACCGCACCATAATACCAAAGAGAAAAGGAAAAAGCTATCATCAGTATTCATTCAAGAGGAGAAACATGAAACTCTCCTTGAGATAGAACTGCATCGAAATCGTACCTTGACTTCCTTTCCAAACTGTTTATATTGAGCTGTGAGAGAGGCTGAGATCAACTAGAAAGCTAGTAGTATATAACCGAGGCAGTCAAGATCATCCAGCTAGTATTCTTGTTCTGATCTCGCTCCATTGCTGGTATTGGTAAAGAAGTTGCATTTTAAATGTTGATATGCAAACATGAGATACAAGACTGGGCTCACGAAAGATTTCTTTGTTTACCATATTGGAGGAGAAAGACTGTCTCATATCTTGCATCAAGTCACGAACCCATAGCAACCCTTCTCCATCAGAACTACAATCTCGGTCTGGTGGGCAAAGCTCTGCGACTGGAAAACACCAAAAAAGGTCTCGTGGCACACCGTTGAAACAAAGCGCAGTGTAAGGGAATGGATTAAAAATCTGCACAAGTACATGAGTTCCACACCGTACACACATCCCTCACAACAGTCGCTAAACACATTTTCGACCAAAGTTTGACAAAGGCCGAGATTCAGATGTCCTGCTGCTACCATCAACCAAAAACGACGCAAGTGATGAAACCATGCAGTGAACAAGAAAACAGCTTCATCCGATCCGCAGAGGAAAAATCTTCCACAACCAATACAAAAATAGATTATTCTGACTACATGATGTTAATGCAAACCTAGAGATAGAAGAGTCTTGGTGAACACCTTCAAGTAAGTCGACACACAGAATCAAAAGCCACCAGTATCTGAGCGTCAACCATCCTGGCCATCAAATCACCGCAGACTACAACAGAAGAGCGTCCAGAGCAAGGAAAGAGGATGAGGAATGATAATCCGAAGTTAAGCTAACCAGAGACTATGTTCTGAAACAAATGATGAGCCCACAGCTTACTTCCCTCAAAGCCAACAAACCACCAGACTACACTGTAGAAGACGATCCAAAGCAAAACGTTTCCACAACAAAAAACGAAGAATAAGACTCGGGAGAACTTCAACGTTACCTTGACTAACTGGAGCAAAAAAACAAAGTCCATAATATATTTGGTTCCTCAAGACCTTTAGGAGATTATATATTAACCTTCAGAGAGCAGCAAAACAAGGGTTACCCATATCATCTATCAACGAATTAAGGACCAAGAAAAGTAGTAACAAAACAGGTAACAAAGGAAGAGGCAGAGAAAACCGTCAAGACTGATACAACTCCTTGCAGCAACCAGTGAGGAACCCGAAGCTTTCTTCTCTCAAAGCCAACCAATCACTAGGCTGAACTGTAGAAGAGTATCCAAAGCAAAACATTTCCATAACCAAAATGAAAAGACTTTCAGACGAAGTTCAACGTTACCTTGCCTCACTGAAGAAACACACTAACCCCGAACCCATCTATTCGATCTTCGAGATTTATAGTGGATAAATATTAACCTTCAGTGAGCAGCAAACGTGTTACCCTAAAACAAACGAGGAAGAAGGAACCTGAAGCTTATTGCCCAGCAAACAATAACAATCAGAAGTAAACACAAACCAACAGAGAGGTAACAATCCAAGGTTTGCACTCGAATCCTCCAAACACGAAGCTCCAGATTCATTCATAATGAGTTCCACCAAAAAGTCGAAATAAGAGTTCACCCTTGCACCATCTAAGTTCCTATTCCAAAACTGAGTTCACAGGAAATAGAAGCCATCATCTCAAACAGAAGCAGGTATATATCTAGAAGAGATGCAGCTAACAAAATCAGAAAGGGACCAAAATAGGGAAGAAAAGAAGCCACCAAAGAGACGACTGCAGAAGAAAGGCCATCGTTGAACAATCTTCAGCCTTCCACAGAGGAGCTCAAACTCAGTCCACTAGAAAACCTTCAATAGTTTGATCAGAAGTCGTCACAGCGCATAATAGAACTCCTATCTAGAAGAAATAGAGCGGAGAGAATTACAAACTTATGGTCTAAGAAGTCCAGAGCTTCCTTCAGTAAGATGAGACACGCATGCTGCTGTAAAAGGCCAGTAGAATAACAACTAGTGTGCAGTATTTAGAAAGAAAAGAATCGGAGCTACAAGGGACTAATAATAAATACAAACCCATTTACAAATAACCATTTTCCATCTTAAATACTCGGCATAAAATCTGGAAACACACAAAAAAACAACAAAAGAGAATCATATCTTCCCAACAAAAGCCATTCAGCACAAAGTATCTGTAGGTAATATGATGTATTATTTCGAAATAACCAGAAACCTGATTACAAGATACCATCCTGGGAAAACATAACCTTAAATCCACAAGATACGGTAACCACCTCTAGAGAATTAAACATACAAAATCAATAACCAAAAGTATCTGACCTTCATCCCACTCGGACGACTTATCACCGGCAAAATATCACTGTCCAAAACAAAACGTTTCCATATAGAAAAAGGATGTGAAAACTCAGAAGAACCGCCCGCGTTACCTTATTTCGCTGGAAACCCAACAACAAAAACCCCTAAGAAATAAGACCCCACGGGAATATAGTTCATGACACCTGCATCCATCGAACACTAGAAGCTCCAAATTTATCCTTGACGAGACACCATGCACAAAGCTTGAAACAGGCCTGGATGTACTGCTAGAGGAGACAATAAACAAACAGGTAGAAACAACCAGACTTGACAACCTTAAAACTGCTTAAATTAACATTGTTTTAAGTATTCCATCTTGATAACAGCAAGAAGAAGAACAAACCCATCTGTTATGATCAACTTATCATATGAATGTGTGCACACCGCAGAGTAAACTGATTTGTGAAACAGATCTGGAAACAAAAAGAAGACAATACATCATACCTCCCCACAACAACCACTACTAAACAAAAAAATAATTTGTAGGAAATAAGGGTTTAACAAAGAACTCCAAATCCTGCGCAAACCATCATTCCTTTCCACAATGCTCCACAGTCTAAGATAGAAACTAAAGCCGAGTAACAGAAAAACCATAAAATCAAGTGTAAGAAAACTTATCATCCTTCATATATACCGAGAAAGAACATATAGCACGAGGAAAACAGAGAAACCTAAAACGAGGAACGAAGATTGATCAGAGACACATCCCGATTGCTCCTCCATATTCTATACCAAAATGAGAAAAAAACATGTTTCCCTTAAGAGAAGAAAGAAAAACCGGCTTGTGTGCAATAAGGAAAATCAAAATTAGTAAAAAGAAACAAGACAGAAGCCCTGATAAACCATCAACCCAAAAGAGCCATCATCACGGATCAAAGCAAAAGCATCCTCCACAATCTAAAACAACAAGACGAGAGTAGATCACATGTAACAAATAAAGCCTCGAACACAATCTAGAAGAAACCAAACCTACGACCCCGAATCCATCAAAGACTGAGAAGCTCCAAATTCCTACTTAACCAGACAGCCATGTGGAAGCCTGAAAGAGCTCTGGTCGAAACAGAATAATCCAAACTCCTATACATATAAATTGAATTTAAAGAGAACGGAGAGGCTACCATCTTGATCAGAAGTGTTTTGCATTCAAGCCATATAGAATAGTTGCAGACTGTAAAATCAAAAAAGGACAAAGACATAAGGGTGAAGGAAACTTGGTCGTGTCTTTAAGTTATTTAGTAACCAAAAACAGGGAGGTAAGGTCATAGACTCATAGAGAGGAAGGTTGTCGATCCCGAATGCTTTTTATCTTGGAGCCTCCATCTTCTATATCAAAACGTAAAAAAACATTTTCGCTAAATATAGGAAAAAAGCCGCTTGTGTATTAAAGAAACTAGAATAGGAAAGAAGACAGAAGCCCTGATACACCGCAAGCAGAGAAGACGCGTAAAAACTTTAAACGTCAAAGCGAACATCCGCCATAGGCCAACAAAAGGGACACCGATTCAGTCTAACCAAACCTATGTCAGAAGTGATAACAAAGAACCGGCAAAGATGACATGATCAGAAACACCTACGAACCCAAATAACCGAATAATGTATGGAAGGAAAGAAATAAGAGAGAGAACACAAACGGAAACGCAAACCCCTGAAGACATGGCTCAGAAAAAACGTGCGGTACAGAACAATAAGAGCATCCTCCACAATCTAAAACGAGAAAGTAGATTGAATGAACAGAAAAGCCACCGGTGTAATTAATCTAGAGAAAACGTTAGGAAGTAGGAACGAATAAACCAAGCCGATGTAGCGTGAGGAATAAACCAAAACAGATAAACCATGAAAGATTCCAAATAGTAGTCCTGCTTGATGCCTCAACTCTCTGTTATGATCAATCTTTCATCTGAATATGTGCACTTCGCAGAGTAAATTTATGGGTGAAACAGATCTGGAAAACACAGAAGACACATCATACCGCCCCACAATGACCAATACTCAACCAAAAAAAAGATACGTAGGTGAGAAGTTACAACCATGATATAGAGATCATAAGCAAAACATCCCCTGCCACGGTCTAAGATAGAAGACACACCTATAACGAAGGAGAGAGTAGATCATGGGGAAAAAAAAAAGTGAAGACTGAGGAAACAGAGAAACCTATTCAGAGTCATCACGATTCTTCTTTCTTAGTGCCTCGATGTTCTATATCAAAACGAAAAACGTGTTTCGCTTAAGACAGGAGAAGTAGACAGCCTTGTGTAATAAGGAGATTTAATACAAAAAAAGGAAACAAGAGAGAAGCCCTTTTAAACCGCCAAAGAAGAAAACGCGTGAAGAACAATCAACCCTAAACGCCATCATCGATCATCAAAGCAAGCATCCTTCACAATATAAAACAACAAAACGACGAGGATGTCACATGGAACAAACAAAACTCCACCGATTCAGTCAAGAAACCAAACCTATACAGATTAGGTTAAACCTCAGAAGCTGCAACGATGATCGGGATCACAATTCGCTTCGCAAACACCAACGAGACCTAAAAACGTTATAGGATGATCGGAATCATTCACAAATCCCTATGAGATCTAAAAAACGTAAGGAAGGAGAAGATATCACAGACAGGAACCCTTGAATACATAGCGTAGAGAAAACGCATGGAGAATCATCCGTGAAAAGTGAAAACCCTAACAATGATCGGTCCAATAAATAGCGTTTGAAACCATCCTGCGAGACGACGGAGACAAGACAACAAAACAAGACGACCAAACGTAACGTAAGGTAGAAAACAAAAGACAGAGACGCGACGTTCAGAAGAATATCACCCGCGTAAACGCGTCGAGAGACAGCTTGGGTCCCTTGGGAGAAAAGATAAAGATGTCTGAAAGAGGACGTCTTTATTTATAGATGAAGCATAAAAGTTATTGACGGTGGAGATATTAAACAAGTTGATTCCAACGGTCGAGATTAATAGTCTAAAGTCGGTAGCCAACCATCTTTGACCTGGATCCAGCTGTCCTTCGATGACTTTATTATTAAATCTAAACCGTTTGATTCATCTACCTAATATTTCCTTTTTTCTTTATTTTCTCTAGTAAGGTCTCGAGATTTCTTGTCCGGGCCCAACTATGTAAATCAACCGTGTTTGGGCCTTGGCGGCCATAAAACAATATCTAAATTAAGCAGATCAACACATAATTAAATGATTTTAAATTTTAAAAAGAGTTTGGTATTTTTTCAAAATTTAGTTCAGTAATAAATAACAATTTATTCATACAAAAAGTACAGAATGTTATAAATTATAACAGGTGAGATTGAATTTATATTTGTTGTGTGTATTAAAGTAACGAGAGAGATACGTAAATGAGAGAGACTTATGTTTTTATTTCATTTGTATATCACTCACAAGAGTACATGTCCCTATTTAAAGTATGATTTAGTCAGTCATACTTAAATATTTATGAGGAGAAATACATATAATAATATGTCAAGTCGGTTAAGTTTGCCAAGAGGATAATCATCTCATTAAATATTATTTAACACATAACTAATTAGGAATGATTGGTAAAAACTATAGATAGTCTTTTTACTTCAAAAAATATAATATTGATTTTTTGCTGTAAATGAAGATTTGTTGCTGTAAATTTACACTAACAACTCTTTAAGCATTAAATATAAAGCATTACAAAAATTGATTTCTAAAATTATTATATTTTCTATTTTAATTTTTGGACTATAGTTTTAAATTAAAAATTTAAAGTATAATTGGAAAATTAACATACTTTAGAAAGAAAAAAGATTGTAGAAAGCATCCAAACCACTTGCAAATCACCATGTTTTTGATTTGAAATATTCAAGTTGATAAATATATATACACAAATTAAAAGAGTGTAATTAAAGAGATGTTATATAATTAAAAATATGTCTCAAATACTATAATGAATATTTTTGATTTTTATATATACAAAAATTACAAATAAAGGAATTAAATTCATGTTTTATACACTTAATATTGAGCTCTAATCAAATAAAGACAACAAAAAGAGTATTAAATCAATTGTTTGAAAGAGGTGTATAACGTATAGTCATTAATAAATTGCTAAAAATATTCGAAATCATTGTAATCAGGATCATTACGATTACTGTTACTCTTCTTCCCGCCATCTCCCTTACTCGCAAACGCCGTGAAATCCACCGGTTCCGGTATATGCGGCGGCGTGGCGCCCCGTATCAACGCCCAATTCACACCTTCAAAGAACGGATGCTGCTTGATCTCCGTGGCGCCTCGCTTGTACGCGATCCGTTTCTGCGGCTCCTTGACCAACAGTCCTTTAATCAGATCCCTCGCGGCCGAGCTCACGTGAGGCAGATCAGGGAACCTCAGCGCTTGTTTGATCACATTGTGTAACGTGGCGCGATTCTCCTGTCCTTTAAACGGCGTCGAACCGTAGAGAAGCTCGTAGATGAAGATCCCCAGTGTCCACCAGTCCACCGCGCTTCCGTGTCCTTCTCCTCGGATGATCTCTGGTGCTAAGTACTCGTGTGTCCCCACGAATGACATTGATTTCACGTTTGTTGGCTCTGCCATGAGCTCTGGCATGGAGCCGTTTACGAATAGTCCGAAGTCGGATTTGGCTTTACGGTTTTTTCTGGTGGATTGTAGGATTCGTGGGAAGAAGGTTGATGCTTGGACTGATTCCTCTTCGATGAATCCGACGGGACGACCGTTTCCGCCGGAGGAGGAGTTGACTAGAGTTGGATTGACGGAGCATCGGAGGGAGAGATCGAAGTCGGAGAGCATGATGTGTCCGTCGTCTCTGACCAGGACGTTCTCTGGCTTCAGATCACGGTATACGATTCCGAGCATGTGCAAGTACTCTAGTGCCAATAGCACTTCAGAAGCAAACAATCTGTAAGAACAAAAAAAAAAGTTTGAAACTCAGTTCTTTGTCTTCCTACTAAGGCTGCGCAAAATATCCGAATCCCGAGAATCGAGCTTGGTCCCAAAAAATAGTGTTAAACTCGAACTGAAGCTGATTAAATACTAGAACATGAACGAACCGCAAAAATTTTAAACCAAAACTTATAAATATCCGAATAGAGTTTACATAGTCCTAGGAACCCGAAACAACCGAATCTAATCTGAAAAATAGTACCAAATTTGAAAAAGTCCATAATATTCCGAATCTAATTTGAACAGAAATTTATAAATAATCGAATTGGACTAAGCTTCTAGTCCCAACAAAAGCTGGAAACCCGAATAGACTTGAACTAAACACAAACGGATACTCGAACATTCATCCCACAATCTGATTTACATACTAACCTCGCGGCATTTTCAGTGAACCATTTGTTGGGTTGCTTCTGTCTCAAGGAATAGAGATTGCCACCACCACAAAATTCCATGACCAAGCAATAGACTTTATCAGTCTCAAAATGGGAGTATAACGTGGGCAAGAACGGGTGATCAAGCTGAGATAAGATCTCTCTCTCTGTTTGAGCTCGCAACAGCTTGTTCCTGCTAACCAAGGAAGCCTTGTCCATCACTTTCATGGCGAAAAAGGTGTTAGTCCCTCTGAGCTCAACTAGGTAAACACTCCCAATGTCTCCGTATCCGAGCCGTTTCAGGAGCCGGAAATCGCTGATTCCGAGCTGGACTCCTTTAGAGGTCAGCATATTCACAGCATCCCACCTGATGTCACCACCTGTGTGTGGCTTAGAGGGGTTAGAGGAAGTGCTCTCAATGCTGTTATTTCTTGAACTCATATTGCTATTGCTGTTACTATTGTTGTTACTGTTGTTGTTTGATTTGGTGTTTAAGTTTGATGAATTGACCAGTTGTGACTCGGTCATGTTGGAACCAGGTGAGGATGGGATTTTTGGGCTCGGGCTGGCACGGTGGTGGTTGCTGAACCCAGCTGGCTCTGGTTTTATAAGATTTTCCATCTTCTTGGGATCAAACAATGGCTTTTGCAGCTCTTTACGTGGTTGTTGAATGGCTTCTGCATCTCTTTGTGTGGTATTGGAGTTTGAGGATGGGATTTTGGGACTAGGGACAGGACGCTGGTGGTTGCTGAACCCAGTGGGCTCTGGTTTTATAAGATTGTCCATCTTCTTGGGATCAAAAGATGGCTTATGCATCTCCTTGTGTGGTTGTGGAGATTGATGAACAATGGTTGGTATATCTCTTTGCGTGGTACTGGAGTTTGAGGATGGAATTTTTGGACTAGGGGTAGGACGCTGGTGATTACTGAACCCAGCTGGCTCTGGTTTGATAAGATTTTCAATCTTCTTGGGCTCAAACAATGGCTTCTGCATCTCTCTGGGTGGTTGTGGAGATGGATGAATGATATTTAACGGTGGATAATCCGTATCTTTTGGCCCCAAGGATGACTGCACAAGAAAATTAAAAATAAACAACATCTCAGTTGCAAATACGTATCTTAGGGCAGCCTCGCATGTACCTACCTCAGAGGAGTCAAGCTTCTTTCCGCGCTTCGATAACATGGCTAGAGAAAATGCAAGGCAAGTCTTCTATATCAGAGAAACCTGTTTCAATGTAAAAAGATTAAAAAGCTTTCTCAATTTTAATTGAGTTTTATCATCCATATATGGACAAATATTAAAAGCCTTCCTCGTGTCTTGTTGAATAGAAGATTGGTCTGCACGTTAACGTAGGTACGTAAATGTATTGCAACAACTTACCTTCCATGTCTGAAGATTGGGGAAACCATGGACATAGAGCAAATTTTTACAGGAAAAGGTAAAAAATCTTCTAATGAATTACTCTAGTTTCTTTTTTTTTTTTGTGAACATGAGAATTGTTGTCTTGAAAACGAAGAGATAAGGTGGATATTATGAAAAAAGAAACATTGATTAATTAAGAAAAGAGAGGAATAGAAATGGATGGAGAGAAAGTATTTTCTGTGTTCCCAAAGAAAGTGGAGAAGTGGAGGGAGGAAAAGGTCCCTTCAATACATTTGAAGGCAAAGGAAAATTGTGTTCTCCCCTTGATTATCTCTTACCTTTCTGTATTGCTTTTTCTCCCATTATACATTTATACCATTGATTTAAACTTTTATCAATCTAGTTTTCCAAAAAAAAAAAATCATATTTTTGTATATATGTTCATGCTATTATATTCAGAATTATATATATCTTATATATTAAAAGAGAAGTCATGACTTCACTTCATGTGTGATATTTTAAAATGGACCATCTAATAGAATTTATGACATTACATTATTCAATCATTAATAATAATAACATTCTTTATATTCACTAATAACATTTATTGGGTTTACTAAAAAATTTTATTGGGCTAATAAAAATTAGATGATCCATTGGATTTATAGATATTATAATAAAATACATGTTTAAAATTAAACTTATATAATTTAATATTGTAATACTATAAGTTAATTATTTATATATTTTTGATGTTAACTTTAAATATTATATAGCTTATTTTTTAAAATAACAAAATCAGCATTTTCTAACAATAATTAAATCTATACTATATAATAATTAATCATCATTTTCGATATACACACCTTATATAATATATACCAATTTAGAAGTAAAAAAATGTTTATATAAAAATCAATGAAAACAAATATCCGCGCGGTTGCGCGGGTTGAGATCTAGTTATTCTTATTACTACAGTTAAATTAGATTTTTATCATGAACTTTTTTCTCCATCTTCGCCAAAAATTATGATCATGTACTGATCTCGTTCCCATCAATTTTAGCATAACCAAATTAGGGTCGAACTTACATTTTAAAAACTTTGGCTTTGAGTTTGGATCGTTAAGGTTAATAATATTTGAAAAATTTAGGTATACAGAATTTAATCAACCTTTTTTTAAGTTTTAGATTGGATATACATTTTAATATCTGAAACTTAAGATAAAATAAAAGTTATAAGGCTTTTGATTTTTGTTCATTGATGAAATTCATGATAAATACAGAAGACATTAAAAATATTTGAAAAATTGTATAAACAAAAATTACATCAAACTATTAAAGTTAGTTTGATATAAATTTGTTTGTATCAAAGTTAGTTTGATATAAATTTGTTTGCATCATAAATAAAACAACAGTATTTTTGATATATTAAACTAAAGATAAAATAAGAGAGAATTAGTCAAATACCCAAAATGGAGGTCAATATTAGGGGATTACACATGAGTTGACATAAATGTAAAGTTTTGTACAATTTGGGCTTAATTGGACACTGCTAGCCTTCTTACAATCGGCTGACAATTTCTCTTTTTTACAGCAACACTCTCTCTCCTATTTCTCTCTTTATTTTCATTATACTTTCTTTATTTTCATATTTTTTCTTCCAGATATTTTTTTCTTACATTAAAAATCATTTGACATACTAAACAAAACATTGATTAGTTTAATTGCACCCCATAATAAAAGAAAATTTATTAACGTCTCTTTAAAATCGCCAGAAATAATCACTGTTGTCGATAGTTAACATCTATAATATTTGTTAACAGAAGTGTTAGATGTTAACGAATATATGTACCAGCATTGTTAGCTGTTAATAATTATTGTAGATGTTAACAAAGATATTAGATGTTAACAAATAGATGTACCAAAGATGGTAACGTAGATGTTAGCTGTTAATAAATAATGTAGGTGTTAACAGAGATTTTAGCTGTTAACAAAAACATGTTCCCGATGTTAACAGAAGTGTTAGTTGTTAACAAGTATACGTATCAGAGGTGTTAATAGACTGATAGATTTTCAACTTTCTTTTTTAAAAATCAAAGTAGATTAAAATAAAAAAAATAACAAATTTTCTTTCAACATTTATTAAAATTACAAGGAGAAAAAAAAGAAAAAGAGAAGAGAACAAACATAATTGAAGAAAGAATGAGAGAGAGAGAGAGATAGAATGTTTCTGACGAAAATGAAACTGACACACTCACATGGGAGAGAGAAAAGGGCAATTTCGTCATAAAAAAGGAATAAGTCCCATCATGAACATTTGCCTAATATAGGCTCCCAAAAGGGTGTGGGAGCAAATTATCTCATAAAATAAAATATTTTCACTGATAAAAATTCATGAGAAATAGAGAAGATGGTTAAAAACTATTTGAATTATTTTGGAATATACATAGTATTTCTGTCAAACCTTCAAAGTATAATATAAGTTATTACTTGGATCATATCCTATTTTTCAAATCATTTAAGGCCCATGTCTAAGCTTACTATAGAACTAGGCCTGCTTTTAGCAAATTGGTATCCACTTCTACTAAACAACACGTGCTTACGCGAGTAAGATTCACACTCCCACTTTGGACCAAAATCGACGACCAATGGCGACGGAAACGCCACCGATACACCCCTTCATCACACCGTTCTCGTATCTACTGGGAACATGGAGAGGACAAGGAGAAGGTGAATATCCAACGATACCTTCCTTCCGCTACGGAGAAGAGATCCGCTTCTCACATTCCGGCAAGGTAAAATCGTTGTCTTTGCTTAGAAAAAGCTAATTGCGTTGACTTTATTTATTACCTTCTTCTTACATCGAACTGTTGTTGTCTTGTCTGTAGCCGGTAATAGCTTACACGCAGAAGACATGGAAGTTAGAAACAGGAGATCCGATGCACGCGGAGAGCGGTTACTTTCGTCCGAAGCCAGACGGTTCCATTGAAGTCGTTATAGCTCAGAGCACTGGTCTCGTTGAGGTCCAGGTAAATGTCCTAATTACCCTTACATCAATTAAACAAACTTCATAATTCTTCTGATTGAAAATTGATTATTAGAAAGGAGCTTACAACGTTGATAAGCAAACGATTACACTCAAGAGTGAGCTTGTCGGAAACGCATCCAAGGTTATAAGACATGATTCAACAGTTTCTTGTTTTAAATTGAGTTTGTTGAGTTTGGTTTTTGTGTTTTGATTTACAGGTGAAGGAAACAAGCAGAGCATTTGAATTGGTTGATGGAAAGCTATCCTATGTTGTTCATATGAGTACAACCACACAGCATCTTCAACCTCATCTCAAAGCCACTCTTGAGAAGGTTTGAAAGTTTGAAACCTCTGAGTTTCTCACCGCTTGCTGCTGATTTTGCATTTGATTCTCTTTTGTGAGATTTCTTATTACATCACTGAAGCTGACAATTTGAGAGCTTAATGGGCCTTTCTGAATAGCAAAAGGCCTCTTTATCAGGTCGAAAGTAATTTGAATCCATTTAGTGACTCTACCTTCTGATCGCAATAGTCAAGAATGGAGATTACTTAACATAATCTTCAGTTCATTAAAAAGCTTAAAAACAAAGCTTAACTAGGTGTTTTGCCCGCACATGCGGGCATAATTTTCGTACAATTTATTATTAATCTATATTTTATTAATTCAAACCAATATAATAAGTTATGATTTATGTTTTAAAATTAATTATAAATGAAAACACTCACATAACAAAATATTTTTACAAATGTGTTGCTTTAGTTTATTTTAATTATATTTGTTTCTATCTTAATTTTTTATTTCTATAATAAAAAATATATTTTCAAGATAACAATATAATACATAAGAAGTATCTTATTTTCTGAAAATATAATTTTTAATAAAAATTCTTTTTTATTTTATAATAAATTTTATATGAAATTATTAAAAATATGACAAATAATCTAAATCATCTAAATCATGGAGAAATTACAAATTATATAATTCACTTAAATTTTCTAATAGAAAATATATGTTTAAGATAACAATCTAATATTTAAGAATTATCTTTTTTTTTAAAAAAAATCTAGTATTATTATTTATATTCGTTTTATTATTTAATAAATTATATATGAAATTATTAAAATATGATAAATAAGCAAAATATAAAACCATGGAGAAGTTGATAAATTAGCATTGCTTTCTTTATATTTAGCTATTAATATTGTAACTTAATTTTTAATTTCTATGATAAAAATATATATTTTAAAGATAGCAATATAATATATAAGAATTATCTTATTTTGTAAAAATATAATATTATTAATAGAAATTCCTTTTTATTAAATAATAAATTGTATATGAAATTATTTAAATAAGATAAATAAACAAATTTAGCTAAAATCAAGGAGAACATGACAACTAAGCAAATTTACTTCTTAAATAATAGTATAGATACAAATCTATATTGATTTAGTCGACTACGATTAATTCGTCAAAGATATATATATTGATTGGTCAAATACTTGTGGGCTACCGAAAATAGTTGGTTATTTCTTTACGCAAACTTATAAACTTGTAATACATACGTAATCACATATAAAAACAAATCAAATCGGTCTGAAGGATACACGTTTAGGCCACGGCAAATACAGAACGTGGCGGCACCTTGTAATTCTCTTGCGCTTCACATAAATTTGTTAAATAGTTTCATAATATTCTTTTGGGCTTCTTATGCGATGTTTGACAAATATTTGCTTTCTCATGAAATAATATCTGCTTCGGATATAATAATAATGGATAAAACACAATTTATTTTCTAAAATAAGTAATGTAAGGTGACGCAAAATTAATTATTAGTCACAATCTACTGAAGGGAAGTTTCGAGTTTATTCTTTGAAGTTGTAGGATGGTTTACATAATTATTTTGTGGACTTGTGAATGATATCCACCTATTTTGTGGACACAACTTTAAATGATAATAATGAAATGGATCTGGATTTTGGTGGGAAGCGTATCAATATTGAATGGATATAAATATATATACGAATGGGGCACTTGGCACCTATGATACTTTTTAAAAAGAATTTCAAGAGTGCATTTTACCAACCAAAAAAATATATCTAAGTCTGCAATAATGGAACCATATCTTAGTAAAAAAATTAAAAAAGTATAATGGAACCATATCAATAACAAGAGATCCCAATCTACAAACTTAAATAACATAAATGAAAATCCGAACAACAAAAGTTGCATATATGAATTCTTCATATCTGTTTATTAACAAAGATAACTATATAGAATAGGTTAGATAATAATAGATATTTTTTTAGGAAGAATCCATTTATTACATACCAATTTGTCTATTTTTTATGATTTTTATACATGTATAAGTGAATCAATAAAAATATCAAATGACTAATTACATATCTGAATTTTCTACAAATATATATATATGTTCTTTTTCACTGAATATCAAATTAAAATTTGTTTGCAAAAATAGTTAGAGCATGTACATCAATGAATCTCAAGAAGATATTCATTTTGTAATATTTTATTATTATTTTTTGTTTGTCAGATTTTTTTTAAAAAAAAATAAATAAATAAGAAAAATTGAATCAATCCCCTTCCGACACGTGGTGAATTTCACCTTTTTGGGGTTCACCAGAATGAACTTTTGGAGAGAGAAATTCATCACTGTTCATCTAGAAAACTGTGTCATCCCCCTTCTAAACCCCTTATGAACCTTCAATGTACCTACTCTTAAGAAATTATATATATGGTGCAGAATAAAGTACTAAAAATGCTAGAGTCTCGTGATATAAATATATCCTTTTGTGGTTTTTTTTCTTATTTGTAGTATTTTTTTGAAGAACAATAATAATTTTATTCGTGGTATTGCTCGGACTGAAGGATACACGGAGAGAGAGAGACAATGTCAAATCCACTGTTTTCAACTATATAATATTATATTATTCTCTTTCTTTTTTTAAAATACAATATTCTATGCATTATATTATTTGTCCGACCATGAGAATTGGTCCTAACTTTTATTTTTTCATAGAATATAAATTCATATGGAAGATAGTTATATTAATTGTGTTAGCTAATGGCCAAATTAAGATTCTTTTTTTTCTTTTATAATCTTTTGAAGCACTTTGAAATATTTTTTTTAAAGAGCACTTTGAAGAGAGTTGTGTAAGAATAGATTCCAGATGGAAAAGTTGGCAAGAAATGATGTTTTTATTTCGTCTCTGGCCTAATCCAACGGCCAGTGTTAATTCATCTAACGGCCAATGCCTCTTCCTAACCTCTTTTAATTAAAAAAACTATATATATATATATATATTTTCAGCTAAAATAAATAAGAAGGAAAAAATAGAGAAAATAGAGGAAAAAGGACAAAAGACCTCTCTGTTCTTCTTTCTTCTTCATCAACAGTTCAGTACCCTTCTCTCTATCCCATCATCACTCTGTTCCGTATCTGTACTTTGTTTCAGGTAAAAAAAGATGATCTCACCATCTCTCTTTCACACACACACACGTGTGAAGCTATGTTGTTCTTATGAGTCTTTTACTTTTACTTTGACCTTTATCTAAGTTCTCTGTATATATAATACATATTATATATGTGTTTAGTGCTCTGTTTCTTGTGATTAGACACAACAGTCTTATCTTCTAAAAGAAGAAAAACAAAATAGTATATATATCGTTTACGTCTAGTTGTTAGTTTTTATCGGTACGACTAAATCTCAGACATCTGTTCACGTTTCAAACTTGTCTCCTCACTTCGACAAGATACTAATGTTTGTGTCTGTTCTATTTTGATTGGTTTCTCGTTAGCTTTCTGAATCTGATCTCTTAAGAGCACGTGTGTTTATATGTTTCAGTCACTGAAGATATGGTGAAGAGCCTTAAAGTGGATCCTCTTGCTAAGGTCACTACCTCCACCACTTCCATGGTAAAATATTCTTTATCTTCCTTTTTGTAATCTCTTGAGAACAGTATGTTGATTAACATTCTGTCTTTGTGTACTTGTTGTCTTGGTCTCTGGTGTTTAGAAGAGCCAATCAGAGCCTTATTATGAAACTCTGGAGACATATCAAGGCCTACCTTGTCCTTATGGTGGCTACTATGGATTCTACTATCCAGGCCTTGATGGTTCACTTGGAGAAGCAAAGGATAATGGATACTATGGTTATGGAACAGAAGTTCAGTACCCGGTAAATTTAAAGTTTCTTGTGAATCAAGGATTAGTTAACGTCGATGAATCGATCTTTTTTAATTAATCATTTTCTTGATCTTAAATTGAAGGTTATGCAAGGAGAAGATGGATCTTTAATCTACATGATGCCAGGGTTTCAATCTTATGATGTTAGTCCCACTTATATGCCTATAAGCCCGGTTGGTGTATCAAGCCATGCACTTCATTCACCTATGTATGCAGCTCAAGGCTATTATCAGAACCAATACAGTTATGGAGATTTTTTATCTCCTACTTATGTATGGGACCCTATTGGAGACAAGTATGTGTATGGTGTTACTTCAAGTAACCAACCTTTGAAACAGAACATATCTTCTTCAAGTCATAACCATAGCAACTATTATTCAAAGAGCAAGACTTCCTTCACGGGTCATGGCATGGGAGATAGGCCTAAGAAGTCTGGAGCTTCAAATAGAGATGAAACAGAGAAGGCGAAAGCAAGAAACAAAGATAATGTTCATTGTAATGATGGAGAATGTGAGTCCTGTGCAGCAGGTTCTATGATCAAAAGGGATCAATATAACCTGCCTAGCTTTCAGACCAAGTATGAAGAAGCAATGTTCTTTGTGATCAAATCTTACAGCGAAGACGACGTTCACAAGAGCATCAAGTACAATGTTTGGTCTAGTACTTTCAATGGGAACAAGAAGTTAGACAGTGCATATCAAGACTCTCAAAAGAAGATTGAAGAGAACGGTGGAACGTGCCCGGTCTTCCTATTCTTCTCGGTAATGCAGCATATAATATATATTCATTTTTGCAACATCTCTTGTGTGCTCTCTGATGGGTTTTATTGGACTCTCAGGTGAATGCAAGTGGCCAGTTTTGTGGTGTAGCTGAGATGATAGGGAGAGTGGATTATGAGAAGAGCATGGAGTTTTGGCAACAAGATAAGTGGACTGGCTATTTTCCGGTCAAGTGGCACATAATCAAAGATGTTCCAAATCCGCAGTTACGGCATATAATACTAGAGTACAATGAGAACAAGCCTGTAACAAATAGCAGAGACACACAAGAGGTATAATAGTCTTTTGATGGATCAAGAAAGTGAATCATTGTTCAAGAACTCATCTCATAGTGTTTCCTTCATATATATAGGTGAGGTTGCCACAAGGGAATGAAGTGTTGGACATCTTCAAGAACTATGCAGCAAAGACATCTATATTAGATGATTTTGAATTTTATGAAAACAGAGAGAAGGTTATGATACAGAAAAAGCTAAGGTCACATCCGGTTCAGATAAAGGTACTGATCTCTCTCCTCTTTAGATCTCTCAAGAATCCTTTTCTCGTTCAATGTTATTTTAATGAAAAACATGGCCTCTTTCTTTGATGTCTTTGATTACAGAAGAAAGAAGAAGAAGAAGAAGAAGAATTGGTTGCTGACTTCAAATCTTTGGAGATATCAAACACAGTCAAAGAGGGAAACACAGACTTAACAGGGAATGTGAACTAACTAGAAGAAGCTGTTGTGTTTTGGTTTGGTTTGGATTTTATTACAAGTGAGTGGCTTCTTGTTCTATTGTTTTGTTGTATTGTGTTTTGCAAATTTGTAATCACTTGATTTTTATAGTGAAACTTAAGAACAATAAAAATGTTGAAAAAGGATTATTCATGTAAAGTGAGCTCTTTACAATCATGTGTTGTATCTTCAAGGTGCCTGCTAATCGTTGAGCCGTCTTAGCTCAGTGGTAGAGCGCGTGACTTTTAATCCCGTGGCCGTGGGTTCGATCCCCACAGACGGCGAGTACTCTTGTTTTAAGAGACCCTCGTGTTCACTATTTTCACTATTGTTAGTTTGTTTTACCACTACTATTCACCTTACATGGCTCCCGCGTGAATTTTGTTGTGTGAGGTGCTGTATTGCGTTACTGTATGTTCGAATTTGAATAGTGTATAAGCTTTTGTTTTATACATTGGTTATGATTTACATTGATCACATTTTTTTAAGATCCCTTATATATTAATCCTGAAGCATTCATAAATGCACAACCTTGGAGAGCATGCTTACGTGTCAAGCTCATATAGCTTCTCAGCCTTAATTTTTTAATGAACCAACTTTGCTAGGAATGAAATAATGTAACATTAAATTTCTTGCATTTAAGACTATAATATATAGACATTTTTTAAGGGACCAACTCTGCTAGGTATAAAACAATATATTTTATTTCCTTAAATAAAAGCTACAGAATTACCTAATATGATTAACATATATATGTAATTAATGATTATGAATAATACATATTTTTGTATCCTCTCTCTTTTTTGTTTAATTTTAAATTATTAAAATAAATTAAACAATCACATTTAAATATATCATAAAAAATTAAGTTTTTCTTATAGGTTATATTTTTATTTTTTTTAAAACGACCATAAATAACTAAAAATAGTAAAATCCCACATTGAAAATTTTATGATCAATGATTTAACTTTGTTTTTTTCCAAAGAAGATACAAATTATCATAAATCATACGAATATGAAGTATCATTAGTAGATATTCATACTATAAATATGTTAATTTAAAAATTTCAGTGAAAAGGTTTGAGGTTAGTAGATACAAATTATAGTATTCGAAAGATTTTTATAGTTTGTTTTATTTGCTTCTTTTTTTTTAATATCTTTTAGTTTGTTTAGATAATTAAACTAATTTTAAATTAGATTTATTAATAGTTATTTTGATTTTTTGGTCAACTTTTAATGTTTAAGAAATATTTTTGGGATGATTTCAGATATTGGTTACAATCCAATCCAAACTGAATTGAGAAGATCAAATCGAATCCAATCTGATAATTAGTAAAATTCAAATAGGATTTATGAGAATAATACCAAAATCTGAAAATACGTGTCAATCAAACTTAAACCGACGAAGTCTCAAACGTCAAGACCTATGATGATTTAAGATACCAACATTTGTATTCATTATTTTATAATCGATAAATATTGTAGTATTGCAAAATGTTAAAAACCATTTAATAAATAAATATTATTATAAAAATTTTACCCGCGCATGCGCGCGGGATATCATCTAGTGTTAGTTTATTTTAGGGTTATCCTATATTTTCCTGAGTTTTTTCTCCCTTAAAACGTGACTTGTGTCACAAGAAACCAAACATTTATTTCTGATAAGGAATCCATAACGTGTTGAACACATGCGTCGATAATAATAATTGATGTACGATATAATTAACATGGGATTACTTGTGCCTACAAGAGAGGGGTACTTGTGCCTACAAGGCAGGGTGTACACAACAATAACAAGCCAAGCCAGTTCCTAATTATCTATTTAACACAATTAAGATGCGTAAAAGTCTTGCCAAACTCATATTTCTCCAATCTATACAATGTTTTTACGTTTTAGGTTTTTTTGTGTGGAAGAAAGAACAAAGCCACAGACGTTTTCTTTTTTTTCCTTCTCTAAACGGTTAGGCCAATATTGGTGGCGTTTTGGATATCTGAATTAGAATATAGTCAATGTGACAGAATTAATTATATTACAATATGAATATTTACAATAAACAGAAATATATGGAAATAATCTATTAATATTTTATACCATAAAATTTGGATTTATTAGTGAAAAACAAATAGAACATTTTGATATGGATTTCCATATGGTGATTTAAAGTGGTGCAATTAGACATAATCTTCATTATACAAATAAAGTTATCAATTTTAAAATTAATTCTATAATATTCTTATAATTTGTAATAACGTAATAATCTAATGTTAATAGAAAACTATTTTACAAAAGATATATTCTTCAATTTTCTTTGCTTTGTCAAAAAGAAAAAAAAAGGTGTCTTCTTCTTAATTTCTTGGCAACGTTATGAAAGCTTCTTTAATTTAATACTAATAAACATTAGTATATTTGACCAGAAACAAAGTACTAAACGTTAGTATAAAAGCGTGAAGAAGGACAAGGTGTAACAGCTCACGATCTAAATCAAACACAATAGTATTATTTTGTAAAAGCGGAACTTTTGAGGTATCATCAATCAATAATGGCGAAGAAAGCGGTATTGATCGGAATCAACTACCCTGGAACCAAGGCGGAGCTACGAGGCTGCGTCAACGATGTTAAGAGGATGAACAAATGCTTAGTCGATCGGTTCGGTTTCTCCGAGAGAAACATTACCGAGCTGATTGATACGGACAACTCTTCCACCAAACCTACCGGCAAGAACATCAGACGGGCGTTGTTGAATCTAGTTGAGTCGGCTAGATCGGGTGATGTTCTCGTTGTTCATTACAGTGGACATGGGACGAGGTTGCCGGCTGAGACAGGAGAAGATGATGATACTGGTTATGATGAGTGTATTGTTCCTTGCGATATGAATCTTATTACCGGTAAGTGAAAAAAAAAAAACTATGTTAAAGTTGACTTTTACTCTGTTATGTTTGATGATAATATAACCTTTTATTTACCACTTTGATCGGTTATATGTTGAGACATTGTTAGGTTCGTGGAAATTTATCTTTCTTGGGATCAAAGTAATCTCCGATTTATCAGAAAATGATTAGAGGAATAGATTGTGTAGAGTTTCAGATTCAATTTCAGGTTGGAATCTTAGATGAATTGAAGCATGGTTTGATATTTTTATTTGGTTAGTCAGATACAAAAAAAAATACACACTCTGAATCTCGCCCTAAGTAATGTACCAATTAAAGATTCAGAATCTCCTAATCTTAAAAAAAAAAATCAAATGCAATTTCTCAACATTTGTTTCTTTATCTCAGGAATATATTTTTTTTTCATATAGCTTCATATTCACTTTTTCCATATGATTATTCTTATTTGGTGATTCTATTCTCAGATGATGAGTTCAGGGAGCTTGTGGAGAAGGTGCCAAAAGATGCACAGATTACAATCATCTCAGACTCTTGTCACAGTGGGGGTCTTATAGATGAAGCCAAGGAGCAGATAGGAGAGAGCACAAAGAAGGAAAAAAAGGATAAGAAAGATAAAAAGGATAAAAAAGATAAGAAGAAGTCAAAGAAAGAATCTGGAGGCTCTTCAGGATTTAAAATCAAAGGCTTAGTGCTTGAGGCTGTGGAAGAAGCATTTGAATCTAAAGGGATCCACATTCCTCACCACAAGAATGAGAAAGAAGAAGCCAAAGCTAAAGAGGTTGAACTAGAACATGGAGAAGAAGTCCATGTTGTGAATAAATCTCTACCTCTACAAACCCTAATCGACATTCTCAAGCATGACACAGGGAACAATGACATCGAAGTTGGTAAAATTAGACCAACACTTTTCAATGTGTTTGGAGAAGATGCATCTCCAAAGGTGAAGAAGTTCATGAAAGTGCTTTTAACAAAGCTACAAGAAGGTAAAAGTGAAGGTGGGATATTGGGAATGGTTGGGAAGCTAGCTCAAGAGTTTTTTGAACACAAACTAAACAATGATGAAGAGTATGTGAAACCAGCGATGAAAACACATGTGGCGAGAAAGCAAGAGGTCTATGCTGGTGCAAGCAGTGGTTCTCTTGCGGATAATGGTATTCTGATAAGTGGTTGCCAAACTGATCAAACTTCTGCAGATGCAAGTCCTGTGGGTAAGCCTGAACTGGCTTATGGAGCATTTAGTAATGCTGTGCAGATCATACTTGGGGAGACTAAAGGTGAGATTACATACAAGGAACTTGTTATGAAAGCAAGAAAGCTTCTTAAGAAACAGGGCTATGCTCAACAACCGGGGCTGTACTGCAGCGATAAGTATGTGAATGCTCCGTTTATTTGTTAAGGGTTGTAACTCAAAAAAAGTATTTGTAGTTCCGTGTTGAATAAGTTATGTGATTCTTTGTTGTTGTAACTTTGATTTGAATGTTAATTAATTGTTCTTTTTCCATTGCTTACTTCATTAAAAAAAACTCAAAATATAATTTCAGAGAACTATGATTGCTGAAAAAAAAATATTCTTGTAACTTCTTAGTTTTGTACATTTTGGACAAGCATATATATGGACATAAGGTGAACTGTGTATATGTAGATAATAATATTACATCTACGTATCTTCTTGCCACATTGCCATGTGATATATACAAAAATGAAAGCCAGGTGTCATTTTCCTTTTACTTTGACGAAAAAATAAATAAGAATACGAATATGCATGGTGGAACTTGGCTGCACAGCTGTGAGGGTTGGTTGTCTCATCATCGATCTCTTCAACCCATGCTAGATCTGCAAGAACACAACACCAAGTAGAAGTGTTGTCTGTTATTTGGGGTTGGTGGTGTGCTCTGCTCTATCTTTTGCAATGACATCAAATATAAATCAGAAAACCAGAGCGATTTGAGAGTTCAAGACTTATCTATTTATGATTTACGAATACATATGCAATGAATATATTCAAACCTTGCTGTATAACCAAATAATAAAATAAAATTCTTATACATTGGGTACTTGTAAATTAAGTATATTTTCGACATTTAAAACCAATGAAAGCATATCTACCACTACCAACAAGCGTCCGACAATGTATGGTATGTGTTCTTCGCATTCACTCTTACTAAGACAGCCAACTTCCAACTACCTAAGTTAATAGTATTTTCGAATTACTCATAAATATTCAATTAACCTTAAAATTAAATTATACATAAAACGACAATGATGTGATCATAATTAAATCCACATTACATACATTCAAAATTCTTCATCATATCACGCAACCACACTATCGTTGTTACCCTGACGATCTTTGCCCTCTTCCTCGTCCATCGTATCGCATAGATCACTCCCTCTAGTCTCTGGCAATCCGGCCGCAAACAAACCAAGCAAACCTATAGCAAGACCGAACAACCCGAACGACCAGAACCCATTTTTCCGACCAGCCGCAACCATAATCGAGCTGAAAACTCCACCAAGCACCAATGCCTGCCTAGTCATTGCTATCGCCGAGTTCCTCACGCATGTCGGAAACAACTCGATTGTGTATATCATCTCAATGTTAAATGCCGAACACGCGGAAAAATAAGAAATCAGCTCTAATACCAGTTGTAACGTCCCGTGGCTCCCGATTCTCATATTCTGTAATGCGAATATGAGAACGCTCGAGACGCCACCTAAGGCTGTAAACCCGATGAGTGCGTTTCTCCTGCTGAGTTTATCGACTAGAAAAAGCGTTATGAGATTCGCTGGCAAATCCATCAACGCGTTAAACGCTGCACTCATATAAACGTTGAAATCGAGATTCGATAACGCTAAAGGCATCCCGTAGTAGACCAAACCGATCCCAAACGCAACCGCCATAACCGCGGATAATCTCCTTAGCGCCCATCTCTTTTCCACCAACACCTTCATAGCCGAGTAGATGTTAACACTAGGCCTCTCGTCTACCTCCTGAGTTGGTAAGCTAATGGTTACATCACTCGAAGGAATCGAAGCAACTCTTTTGAGAATCGAAATAGCTTCTTCTCTACGACCTCTAACGAACAGCCACCTCGGAGATTCACAGACAAAGAACCGAACAAGAACACAGTAGATTATTGTCGGAACCGAAGTCCAGATGTAGAGAATCCTCCACGAGTTCCCTCTATTAATATAAGCCATGGCAGGGAGAGACAAGAAGCCAAGCATGAAGCCAAAGAAGCTCATGATCCCGACACGTCCTCTCCATCTCTTCCCGACAAGCTCCGTCGATAGGACAAGCGCACACGTCCCGATCGTGGCCCGACCAAACCCGTTAACGAACCGAAGAAAAGCGTAGACCCAGATGTTCGGTGAGAAAGCCGTTAACATCGTAGATATCGACATGAGGAGACAAGACAGAAACAACATGTTTTTACGACCGAGGGAAGAATCTGCTAACGTGGAGAGAATCAAACCTCCGCTTAAACACCCGACGAAGAAGGAGCTCTCCGGTAAGCCTTTGACGAAAGAGCCTGAGCATTGGAGACTCCACTCGGAGATGATGGAGACGTGAGAGGGGAAGTCCCAGGACCATGAGGTTTTAGGGAGGATGCAGATGTTGGAGATGGAGTCGTGACAGAACGAGTCTGAGTCGGTGCAGTGCCATTTGGGTTCAAAGTCTGTGAAGACGGAGATGAATGTCTGTTGAGCGTCGAAAACGCCTGAGAAGGAGACTAAAGTGGCTTGAAGAAACTGGGCCCACCCAAAGCTTCCAATGTATCTCTCGATCGTGTCGTCGAGGGATCTCGGTGGTTGTGAGTGTGAATCGGTAAGAAGCGGCTGAGTTGGTTCAGCCATGTTGCACGAGTTTTTTTTTTTTTTTGCGCTTTTCTTTTTTTTTGTCTTGTGCCACAGCTTCTCAAACGGCGAGCGTTTCGTCCTGCTTTTATTACAGAACATTGGTGTTGACATTTTCTACATGGTTCTAACATTAATTTGTTTATTAATTTTTATGCTACCACTGCTTACATTCGATTAAATTAGCAAATTTGATGATATAATCGGATATATACATTGTCGACAAAAAATCGGATACATACATTAAGGGTGATTTTGGTCATAGTTGTAGTTGTTTTACAGAGCTAAAATTTAGTCTGTAGTCATATATATCAATCTTTTATTTTCAAAAAACATTTACACCCAAAATAGAAAATAAACAATAGCTGTAGAGAATTTTATTTTTATAGCAAAAAATATTTTTTGAAACAACTACAGAAAATAAATCTACAGTTCAAATTCTACCGTAGATAAACATAAGGTAGAGTACATTCCAATCAACTCCAAATATTTTTTAAAAATCTTATAATATTATAATTATGAGATAGATAGATAATATAGATGATTTTATAATCAATAACTTATATATTTTATTAGAATTAAGTTTAACAACATTAGTTGGAAATTAAGATTCATACCTAATTGATTTTAATTATATTATACTGATTTTTTTTTGTAAGTTCATTGTTAGTGTTCGGCATAATTAATTAATAAATTGCATTTTCTAAAACTTGAAATAGTAATAAACTTTCAGTCAAACTACTTTCCTAAAGTAATTTACATAGGGAAATAAAAAGTTCCTTTTTATGTTCAATTTTAGAGTTTAGATGATATGCAAACGTTTTTACTTTTCTATATATATTTAGTGGTTTAATCATTGGTTACGTTGCCGTGATTTTTCTGTGTATACTAAATCTGGAGTTTGGGCGTTACTATCTTATAAATCCATCAAAACAAGATAGTGTATCTTATTCTGACAATCTTGTATTATATTTACTTAATAAAATACAATGCCACGATATAATTTTAGTGTTAATCATCCAGTTCGGAAGGAAGTTTAGCTTGTTATACTAAACAATAAGAGCACCATTAATGGAGGTTGTTTAGAGGGTTACTTAGGAAGAAAAGTGGCTTATTTTGAAGAGAGAGAGTGTGAAAAGTGCTTAATTAAGCACTTTTCACACTCTCTCTCTTCAAAATAAGCCACTTTTCTTCCTAAGTAACCCTCTAAACAACCTCCATTAATGGTGCTCTAAGCTCGTTGGTTGAGATCACGAGACACATGTGTGAAACAAATAATACCAACTTTTCTTGGTAAAAATAATAACAACTTGTACTTAAAAAATGCAGTTTTTTCTTCGCTAGATT